CTACAACAATCAACACGTTTCAAAACCTATGTTTTGGTATTCCACCGGTTGTAGCTTCTCACTAGAACTCCAAAAGTTCTCGAAGTTAGTCATTATTAGTGAACATGCGATGATGATTATGGTGATGTGAATACTTCAACATATTTATCGGCAATATAATTGCAAACTTTCAAGTTTAAACATACTTTAAAATAGGATCAGATTAAAATTTGGTATATATCTCAAACTATCCAACTAAAATTTATACGAATATTCGTTAAGATTAGAACGAATAGTTTGACAGTTTTGAGCGCCGAGTATAGAGAAGTCATTATATGTGAAAATTATGTTTGAAATATCCAACTAAAAGTTACATACATATATCATTTATTTCTAAAATGGCCTAGTCTAGATATATGTAGATATACAATAATTTTTTATCTGTTTATTACGTAGAGAAGACAATTTGACATGGAACAACATTTCACTGAAGATGCTCTTGAAACAGCTTTCAGATGGATGAGTAACCTGCATTCGTATTATGCATTCAAATCATGATACCTTGAGACATTGTCATTCAACATCACTGTGATATATATGCTCGTGTGATTATTATTATTATTATTAGAAAATTTCACCCATTAGTAACATTGTCAGCTTATTGGATAAAACAATCAACAATATTTTAATTTGTAATAAATATGAATATTTTTTTTATATTTTTATGTATATCTTAGCACAATGCATATGAATTATTATTACTATTATGATTATTATCTCTCCGCCTTCATATGTTTGCTCATAATAATGCATTTTGGGGTCATAACAATAGTAGTGACAATAATACTTGACATGACCCTGACTTACGTCACGTCACAGCGTTCAATATATTAACTGAACAACAATTTGTGTTATTTCTTTTACTTCTCTGAAATTCGTCTTGTATAATATTCATTCATAGCTTTGCTTTTTGTCTTATTGATGAAAAAAAATGTCATATCATTGTAAAATGAAACAATTTCACCCTTTTCTCCGTTGTACTCGATTAAGTTTGTATTAAATTTAAACAGTTATCTGTGATTCTTGTAATTTTTAAAATCTATTGACTAAAATTTTACATAAAAATCATTCGTCAACTACAATAAATCGTCAGTGATATTCTAATGATCAGTATGGGGTTGTGGAGATTGCTAAGTTTTCGATTGAGATCATGAATTAATGAATGTTAGACCACCATTAAAAACCTGGAAGCACTGGACGGCCGTTTCGTCCTAGTATGGAACTTGAAATAAGAATGCACAATTAGTACTCTATATGTATAATATTTTGCACAAAATAGTATTAATTGGTATAAAGCGATTCATTATCAAATCGGTAATTAGTTTCTGTGCTATATTATCAAACATAGGCCATTATTTGTCTGTTGTCAGTCTGTGAAGTCAAAGGAATTCAGAACTGATGATGCGTTCCACTAAAGTAGGTAAATAGTCTATCGCATTGCTATACAACCACAACCCTTCAGTCATATTCATCCCATTGAGCGCATTATCAGCAAGTAAAGAAATTTGTATTCTACGACAAAGAGCTTCAATACTGTCGCCCGAAGAGATATGACCGTGATACATTTCTGATTTTATATATTTATTTTGTCCATGCCCTTGAAAACCAGAAGAGTTTTCCATGTTGAAAGGTTAAACAATCAATAAGGGGACGGCTAAAGCCATTGCAAGGGGTTGCGAATACGGATTTCTGGTTTATACCAGACTCGGCTCATAAACGTTTAGAGTTAATTTGTAAAATAGTAGAAAATAGAGATGCTAGGGTCATCATAATTTCATATGATTAGTAGAGGTTTTCGATGCATATTTATCATTGATTATGTGAATATGTGAGACCAGTTTCCAGTTCAATTTGCAAATTTTTTCAACATATCACTTTCATTTATTCTACGTGTTGTATTGTCAAAGGACCAATAATCAGATTGTATGTAATGATATATTATTTAATAAATGAAAGAGAACGCTTTTCCAAGACTAGATAAACTTCGTGGCAATCAAAAATCGAAATATATTTCTGACAAAATTCTACGGTTTGCATCAGGAAATGACATCATCTGATGAACTATGTAAAACGAAGTATTAGACACTACTGTATTTCATCGTAATTGTAAACTTTACATCAGTGCACAATCATAACCACACATGAAACCTAACTCGGGGTCGTCAGATCTCGTGATGAGCATTGAGTTGCGACCCAATAATCCATTTTTTAAGATTTCATTATTCAGTGCCATTGTTATCACGTGTCTCAGTATGGTTGCACTCCAGCCGGTTAGAAATATAGTTATTGACAATCCTTAATTTGAAGGATTTATCTTTACAAATTGAAAATGGCAAAGCTTCAGTACCAGATATTTTAAAATAATGACAAAGAATTTCAAGGATTCTGTGTTTTTTCTTCAATTCGAAGAACATGTCTTCAAAATCAGTCGTTTGGCAATTTATTATCACGTGTATACTCTAGTATAGAATCGAGAATTTAAACAGAAAAACTATTTAGCATTTTTAAACATCTGAATAATTGATAGTAGTGCAATTAAGGACATGTGCTTCGTCTTGTATAGGACGCTCCAGGTGAATGCACTTGCACGCAATGTTGATGTCCACATTGAGACTCGAACTCAGTACCCTTAAACTCCCAACTCGCCATTTATTTAGCTAGTGAGTTCAGACAACCACTGGATTACACAACGGAGGTAAATTTTAATTCACTGTGTAGGTTTTTTTTCAATCTTCTGTTTTTGATGTTAGGAACTGACAGTGATCAATTGCCTCAATACTTCCTTCAAATTACAAGTATTTTTTAAGCAGAGTTAGATAATGCCTCGTAACTAAATGACAATATCAAGGTTGTTGGCATAGGATGCACATATGCAAAAAAATGAAATTTTCCAAACCCAGTCCTTAACATCAACAACAGTGAAATTCAAACAGCTCTTACAAATAAACTATCTGGCTGTTTGTCTTAACTATAAAATGACATTTTATTTATTTTAATTTTTGATGACGTTGAAATAATGTAATACAGGATAATGTTGTTTATGCCATATTAGGATGATATTTGAATGTTGATATTGGTTTAACATGTTAACATTCTAGCAACAAGTTTAACTTCAATATTTACTGTGTTACTGAGAATAGAAACACGTAATCAGCTGGGATATTCACTAACAATAGCAATAAGCACATAAATAGTGATACAACTGGGCACCAAGATAAATATTTTCTTTTGTAGATAAAAATGGCATTTCGAAGAGGTAGATGAAGGAGAGGGGAGTATATTCAAAGTGAATAAATGTGTGAGGAAGTAAATGAGTGAGATTAGTTTATAGTAGGAGCGACACTTTAATCGGAAAAACAACCAGTAAAGATTTCAATCAAATGAGTTGCTTCCACTTTTATGAAGGATGTATAAGAAAACTACGGCAAGATTACCATTGCCTTCTATTCAGAACCTCATCTGATAATATCTCAATCCACTAAGTTGCACCATCTCTAAGACCTCTTCCGGGCTCACAGGTACCAGTTCTGTACAAATTTCCTTCATGCCACGGCACCATGTCGTAAACTCCACTGTTTCCAACCACTCTCTGAGTCGGCAGGTAGAGTCTCCGTGTTGAAATTCTCAGGACAGGTCCAAGTTACCGAAGGCGGTGTTTGAAGATGATTCACTAAACGAGCTACCATCACTGTTCACGAATACACAGTGCTGAACCTCCACATTATTGACATGACGTTTAGACTCGATGTCAACACTCACTAAGCGACGGATAATTAAGCGCTGAGTTCACGAACATCCTTAACTCCGAGACCCTAGATTTCACAGACAGACTGACATTACGACGTCATCAAAGATGGTGTAGACTGGGATAAGTCATTCTGGTTCTCACTACACGTAAATTGATATAATCACTCATGCCACTACTAGCACTTACATAGCTACACAGAAACACGAACTTCTTGACTACTGATGGTTCACTACAGAAAGTGTGTGCGAGTTGAGGCTCTTGGCGGTGTTTTAAAACCACTTAACACTTAAAAGATGCAAAGTACGTGCTATTACCTACGAACATTGGTTCCAAACTGATTCAGTACGATTTCCGTAGCTTGAGTTTCACAGTACAGTAAGACTGTCTTCAGAGTACTTAATATCGAAAAGTCTTTCTCTAAGTGATGGATCCACACCACCATTCCATACTTCAATCAGAACTATTTGTAGGATGTCGTCGATAACAAAGTCGGAAAGGAATGGTGAGATTGGGCGAACCTGCTTAACCATGAAGACTGATTATAACCCAATCGACGACTTTCATTATTTGATAACATCCTAATATTTCAAAGTAATAAGAGTTAATACTACTGAAAAGCGTCTGTGCTGCCTTCCTTAATCTGATCTGTCTATTCTGGTTAATGAAGGCTCTTAGAGAAGATCTCAGTATTATCTATACTTACACGGTCCTTATATTTTTGGTTAGTAGCTAACAGTGAAATATAGGATGCTTATTCCGTCTAAATTAGAAATCAGACATCACTTGAATGTAACTGTATCGCAGTGTTGATATTCATATTTTGAACCAAACTCAATATCTTTTATTTTCAAATACTAACACATACTCAAGTAAACCAATGAATTACTAATTTGTCCAATGGATATGATATACGTTGTTATTTGGTAACAGTTTTTTTTCTTGAACTCTTCTGTTTGACATTTGGAAATCTCTATCAAATGATAGATTTTCATGAATTATATACAATTCCTAACAGTAATAATGACATTACATTAGAAAAAAAATATATAAGAACTATTCAGCAAGACATTCTAAAATCTTTTTCATCATTATAAGACAAAAACTACAATCATCTACATTTATTTCAGAATATGTCTTGACAAAATGTCGAAAAAAATAGCCCCATCCATAATTTTTTTTATTCTCTGAAGAAGTGACTTACACTAAGTCACGAAACGTCAGAAAATCTAATTTTTCTCCTCATTGGGTTATTACAAATATACTATTTATTTATAACATGATTTAATCTGTTCACTTCTTTCTTTCATTTTGTCTCTTTCTTTATATCCGTTGTTTCCAATTAAATACTGATTTAATTCTTTTCACTTCAAATGTATTGAATGCACCAGGAATTGGAAATATTAAACAATTTTCAGTATTTTTATTTGTATTATGAATTACTTCGACAATTGATTGTTTATTATCAGATTCATGTTTGTCTTTTATGAAGAGTTGATCACCATCATCATTATCATTTGATATTTTAGGCAACAATGAACAAATTGTTTGATCAGGCCAATTTGATTCAAGTAATTTGATTGATTTTTCTATATTAATCAGATTTTGATATTCAGGAATGTTTCGGTCATACAATTCACCATATTGATGAATTGAAATATTTCTCTTAAAATGATGGGAAAAAGTATCTAAGATTTAGGAGAAGAATTACAAAGATGTGATCGAAAAAAAATCAACCATACTGTCAAATCATCCATATGTTTGCTATTATAAAATGGAAAGTATTTCAGGGACTAAACTTTCAATGAAGTAAACATGATCAAGAACAATCGTAAAGGTGGACAAACAAAATATGTACAACGGAATATAATATGAAAACGTTTCAGTTCATAACTACTCTACATCTATGATTAATGATTCTAAAGCCTGCAAAAACAATTTTAAGAAAGAAGGTTCACTTTAATTCAAATAATATTATTCCACACTGTTATACGATAGTTTCAGTTAATAATCAAGAAATTATGACTGCACAATGAATGTAATTTAGTACGACCAAAGTCCAAGGTTGTCCATAGTATTGATTACTCAGACCTTCCTAGTAATGATATAAATATCATACCTGATTCACAAATGAGCAGCTATCTGTACTAACTAGCCAAGTGGTTAACACATTAGTTGTTGAATTAAAAGGTAATGGATTTGAGTTTCTGTGGGAATATTAGAACTGGGATTCAAGCGCGTCCACCCGACCATTCCTAAAGAAATCGTACTACAAACCACAATCTGTCTCTTTAATATAAATGATAGAAACTTAGTATTGAGAAATGACACTTTATTTTAAGATAGTAGTAAATGCAATTACTTTAATAACTGTTTTACTTTGATTCACTTTCACTATGTGCCTCTTGTTTTTAACTAGGTCTATACGAAGTCCTGAATTTTAATAATCAAGGATCGAGTCAAAAGATATCGGTAAACGATGGGCACTGCGTCATGAATTCTTTGAAGCTCTAAGATGTTAATCATTATGATTCCAGCTTATTAATTCAATAGTATCGTCTTTGTTGTGTGATATAAAGTTCTTACTTGTTGTGAAGACGTGTGGTCATCAAAATCTAACTAATGATTGTAGATTTTCAGCAACTTTACAGTTGCTATAGACTAAGAATGAAATCGATCTATAGATCATTCAAATTTTCAGCCACAAAATAGATTAATTCAGTTCATTCCGATGAAACATCTATCACTGTTATTTACTAAGCAGATGTCTACCGTCTACCTAGTATTAAGATTACATTTCGGATACAAAAATAATCATCCAATACATATTTAGTTAAGATAGGATGACCATACCTACAGAGAATTCGTGAATACTTTTGAGCATCATGGTTTTTTTGAAAGACTGAACTTAGATAACCATTGAAAACCTGAAAGTACTGGACAACTGTTTTGTCTTAGTAAGAACTTCTTAATAGTGAGTATCAACAACTCTGCCACCTTGGACCGAACGCAGGTCCTTCGAGTCCTTCGACAAGAGCTGAGTTAAAACCCTAAGGTTTGCACTTCAAACATCAATTATTTCGCAATATTGTGCAACTACCTTCCTATGCTATTGGTGGGTAACTACCTCACACCAGATATGGTTGAACTCCATTGGCCACAGATTCTCATTGGAACTCTGAAAATTTCCTCCTGAAGTTAACCACTAGTGAGTGAGTGATTATTATTAAACCAGGGCGTTTGTGGAAGTTAAGCTCTCAGTGCGAGATCTGAAAGTCCCGAGATTGCTCATCAGTCGGGTCGTCGTTATTTACCTATGGGAAGTCCCATGACATCATTTAACATCTTTCTATCTCATTGTGGTTTCCAATGGTTGTCTAACTACGATAAGTCTTTGATGCAAACTATGTAAGACAGAGTAATTTTTAATAAATTGAATTATATAAAAAACCTAGCCAATATATCACTGTAGCAATAAATCTGGAAGCATACCAGATCCTTGATTTGTTTATCAATACCTCCAGATTTTGAAACCATTTTTAAGAACAATCTTCTGTTGTCAGGCAAACAGATTGCATAATGGAATGCGGTACGTCCAAGACAATCTTGATAATTTACAAGTTCTTGACACAGTTCAATTAACTGAAGAACAAACTCTGTTCTACGATAAAGTACTGCAAGGTGTAGTAGAGAACGTTCTCTCCAGTCACGACCTAGAAGATAGATAGATAATATAATAATATATCGTATTAAATATCTATATGTTTAGTTATTTATACAATATAAACATATAAGATATCTAAAATTATTACCTTATATTAGGTGCACTGATGAAGCTTCAAATCAGGAGAAAGTTTGGTGATCATAGATTTTGAATTAAAAATCTTTGTATCATTAGACTAGCTGTTCACCAAACTAACCACTAAACTTATCTTCTGGTCAAGTTCCAGTAGTAGTTCATGTATTAAACGATAGTTTTTCAACCAGAGCTGTTCCAAGTAGTCTCATTAATATTCACAACAGAAACATATGTAGTTAACTAATGCTGAGTGCCTTGTAGACAGTTTTAGAACTTGAATTCTATCCAGAAATTCTCCAGGTAGATATTTGTACTAAGACTAAATGCTCAGAATGAATGAGATAGCAGGCCGAACGAACTCTCTTTCAAAGTATCACACTTAACATAATGCTGATGAGTTGTAAATTAGGACTAAATAGTACTGCACTGCCTTGCTAATGATTAACCAGATGAAGTCTATTCGTGGTTAAAATTATATTTTGCTCAGGAATTAATGGGATTTAAGTAATGGCTATTGGATTCTTGCATGAAATTCAAAACGCAATGATGGATAACTTGGTGCGAGGAAAACCACCCTTTTCTAGTGTTCAATAACAGCGAGATATCTAGCATTTTAGATCATTTCCTCGTTCACTTAGTGGGTCACTGCTGTATATCAGAGTGTAATTTTCATTGGCGACTTCATTGATATAATGTAAAATTATCCTCATTTTTCTTTTATCCACAAAATACTATTGAGGATCCCAATTTGGCCGATGAAAAAAGCAAATAAAATTAAAGTTGGGGCCTGAAATGAAATAATCAGTGAAAATCATGCTCCTACATATAGCATGCACTCAAGAAATAAACGGAAAAAAGGTAGATACTGCACACTTATTGAACATTCGAAAGTAGATACGCTACGAATTCACGAGCATGTATCCTATTTTGTAGCTTGTATCGAATCAAAAGTCAAAAATTACCAATAGTTATCTAGTCATTAAATCCTAACCCTATGATCTTTCAGGTTTTAATCTAGGAAATTATTCATTTATATCACATGTTTTCCAAATGGCTAAAAAATGGACTTTACTTTTCCTATGTTGATTTTAACATGATTGAAGTTTGTAAGTAAAGTATACTTTAATCCTATTTGTGACACGAATATCACTTTCAATATGGTGAGTTCTTTTTCACAAATAAAACCAACTGTTTATACAATCATAATTGTTCTTTTTTTTAATCTATAATATATATAATATCACATTTTGTGTTTTATGTTCATCAAACAAGTTTGGACAAGTAATAATCAGCAATTATTGAATGAACCATTAAAATATCATATCTATAACGCATATACTTTGTGATATGATAAATAGATATTAACTTACAATCCAAAAATTTATTGATTGCTTTAGATTACTAAGATATCGTTTTGTGACACAAACGTAAACACGAGCTAAATACATGTGTACTTTACATTCAAGATTATCAGTAAAGTTAGATAGTGGCTATCAGTGGAATTCAAGTCACACGTTGTGTCCTGTTTTGGATTCATCAACTGAATGGACATGGATCCTAGTATTAATATTCTCACTGTAACTCTAACCCAGTAGGTAGATAAAGCCGACGAGCACTACATAGAGTCAAACAACAACAGCCAACTATAATCAAATTTTACTAAATCTTGTGACTAAATGTCAAGTCAATGAGAATAGAATGCACATATGCCACTAGATCATGATCAACAATAGTTCATAATATCAACAACGGGAAGATTTCAATACTTACAAATGTTAAAAATGTTTTGCTACTAATCTATGGAGAAACAAGTTGGAGAAAGGAGATAGAGTTGTAATATGATGGTAAGTTTACTTAATACTAGAAGAAACTAGACGATTTTTGAGCTATTGAATATTCAGAAATCGAAGTATAACTTTTCAGAATATATCTTTCATCTCACTATACATTAGAATGCATTTAACTGAAGTTTGGAAAATTTCTGTTGCAACTACGCCTACATCGATTTTCTATGAGATTAGATAAACCATTGATTGTTTTTATCAAGTATCTCATTTGGTCACTGTTCATATATTATTCCAATACACGTGGCCACTTGCTTAAGCAAGATCGAACAAATATCTATATTAGAAAATGAGGTCAACATTTTAATTGAAGCATTGGTAACGTATGGATATCTATAAAAATTTATTAGCTGGTATGAAGGCAACGACATTCATATTTAACGGTTTCTTGTCAAACAAATAATGTTTACATCATTAGCGACAACTGCTTCATTCCTAACATGTTTGAATCCCCTCAGTTACAACTTCTCAGAGGAACTTCAGAAATATCTTGAAGTAATTTACTGGTATAGTGTCTATTAGAGTTTTTTAGTGAGAGGTACTGACTGGTTGAGTTTAAACATGTCAGAAGCGAAACAATTTTCATTGAGAGCACTAGGCAATCATCACTTTATATCACAAATCGATTGAATTTGGAGTTGAACCATCTAATAGTGACCCATTGCTCCGAGACTTGTAAGTCCAGGACTGGATTCTTAGTGGGATCATAAGTTCACACCACTGGTAGGCATCATACTCGGAAGAAACAGCTGTTTAAATGGTTTTCATAGTAAAATAAACTTAAACTACATTCATCTTGGCCCACTGTTGAGCAAATGTCGAAAACTGATCATAAAATTTATCTAACTAGTCAAGGTCTCGGATAATTATTGACTATAAATGTATCTATATTAGATCTGTCCTACGAATATTGAATTATACTTTATTATCTAGAACAGTATGGGATAATATTGTTACTGAAATCATAAACTGGCCTAAGTCATACAGTTACTAAACGTTAGGGCACACTAGACAGCTTCGTTCTAGTATGAGACATCTCAGCAATGCGTATTCACAACCTCGCTTTTGGGGATCAAACCTAGGAACTTCAGGTCTTTTAGTGAGAGCTTAACGTTTGGAACACTGAAATAGTATGCAAAGGTTTGCATTTCTAACTTTAATTAATCAGAGATATTCCACAACAATCTTCCATTACTTCACATCCGACATGGCTGAACTCCACTGGTCATGACTTCTCATTAGAACTCTCCAAATTATCTGATGACACCAGTCGCTAGTAAAGACATATTAATTATCAGTATCGAGGTTCGTCAACTGTTGAACACAAGATCATTGGTCGGAAGATTAACCTCTCACAGCGAGACCTGAATTTTCCGGCTTGAAACTACAAAAGGGTTGTGGATGCTCACTTATGAGAAATCTGAAACTAAGACGGAACATCGATCTAATGCTTCTTGGTTTTGAATAGTAGACTAGCTCGGGACAGTTAATAATCTCAAAAACACTTATCGATCTCCAAATGCCTTGATACTGATTATAATTCTCTCTATTTTCTTTATTTTTCATATAATTCACAATGACTTAATTGGATCTCCATTTTTAACTTTCATATGATTATGTGGTATTTAAGGCATACTACCTAGAATGACAATGTATAGATAAATTTTTATATCCACAATTATTATTCGTTCACCAAACATATACTACATTAGACTTATTGAGGTCCTTCTGCGAAAATTAAGTGAATTTGTTGGTGATACTCGTCATGAAATGATCTCATTAGGAGTACCAATGAAAGTTATTGTCACCCTAAAGCATGAATTAATTGAAGTTGGGAATATGTATTACTGGTAGCTATATTAACACTTAACTGAATAGTTTACCGCTGTTAATTCAAGTTGAAGAGCACAACTTTGGATGGAAAATCATTAAGTGTGAAAAATCCACTTGCATATTTACTCAATGAATTAAGTTACATTTGTATTGTTTCTTTTATTCAGAGAAGGTTTTGGTTCGCCTTCTTAGTTGTCAGTGGAGTTTTTCCTGAACATTGTCGAGTATTGTGTAGTATAGAAACAGCCAGATAACACATGTATGTGGTTATTTAAATCTTACCAAGGGGTCGGAAGTTGATGTATAGTGATGAGTTCCATTCAATCGACTATTCAACGATGATCCGTAATGTCGTGATTTGGTCTGTGCACAACTGATCCTTACGGAATCCAGTCTGTTGATCTCGGAGTTCGGTGTCTGCTGAATCTTTCATCCGGTTCAACCATACTCTGTAGAAGACTCTCCCCGGTAACAACTGAAGTGTGATACATCTATAGTTCTCACATTTGCTCAGATTTCCTTTCTTTGGTATCTTGATGAGGTGTCCTTCTTCCCAGTCTGTCTGTAGCACTTGTCCTTCTTCCCAAATCTTTCTGAATAGAATGTAGAGCATGTTTTCAGTTATTTCTCTGTGTGGCTTCAGTGCTTAAGGTGGTATATTGTCAGGTTCTACTGTTTTCCCACTCTTGATTTATCTAATGGCCATCCTGATTTCGTTGATCGTTAGTGGAGTGACAGCTTAAGGAAGGTCTGTGTGCTGCTTTGATGTCCAATAGATTCAGTGGGCCTGGTCCACTCAAGGTTACTCCCCCCAGGGTATCGATTTAGATCCGTTCCTTATGATTATGATTCTTATTGCCCAGCATCTCCTGGCACAATAAAGTTAGTACTTCTTTAATCCCTTTCCAGTCGTTCTTCATGGTGGTTTCGCCTTTTGTGAATAGATCTTGTAATGCTTGGAACCTGTTGTTGATAGTTATCTTGAATTCGTCGAGTTTGTCAGTATCTCAAAGGAGGATTGTGTTAAACATTTGTAATGCTGTCTCTTCAGTTGTCCAGTGTTTCTTTACCTTCAGTTTCATCTTGACCACAGCCTGGTGGTGATCTGAATCTGTGTTAGTTCCTCTTTCTGTTCTCACGTTTTATATTGACCTTCTGAACTTCTGACTGATGCAAACATGGTCGGTCTGGTACACGGTAATGTGATCCGGTGAAATCCGTATGGTTTTGTGTATGTGATTGTGGAGGAATATTGGACCACTTGTAAGCATTTTGTTGAAGGCACGTAGATTGGCAAATCTCTGACCATTCTCGTTCCTTTCTCACAATATATGTCATCTCATATCACTTTCATACCCAGTGTTGTCCATCCCGACTTTGGCGTTTAGGTCTTCCATCAGGATGGTCAGGTCCTTTTGATTCAGTATGATCATCCTTAGTGTAAACTATTTGTTTTGGTATTACATTCACACAAAATAAGCTGTTATTGGTCAGTGAGTGAAGAGAGACAACTAGACATTTCACATAAAATCGTTTAATTAATACTGTAAACGAATTCTTCCAAATTCTATTATAACACTTTTTTATTGGCATCTGGTTCTTAACAAAATAGCCAGATAAGTGTAGCTGTAGTCGTGTAAAGATTTAGTCAATACTCAAGATAGATCAATTGTATTGCCAATTCGATTAACATCACAGATTACAATTTCTACATGGAATTGTCTATTTTAAAATTAATAAGAACAATACTAATACTTACCCATAATAACTCTTTTGTTATTAACCAGACGTAGGAATTGATGATAATCTCCAGTTATAATCGTCTTGTGAACTTCCATCATTTCTGTTCTATATTGATCAACAGTATCTAATAAAGATATCATTTCATGATGTCCTTTTTGTTCAGCTAATAATCTAGCAGATTTAAAGCGTACAGGTCCAGAATTAGCTAAATGTATATAATTATATCCATAGAGAATTAATTCTTCCATGGATTGTAAGTGATTGCCAGAAGCTAGAAAACCTACATGGCGATCAATTAACTGTTCAGCAGTTAATAAATTTCCAGTTTCTGGATCGATAATATCATGAAGTTCGAAAGGATCTGGTGGCTATAAATGTAATGGGAAAAAAGTAGAAACATAAAACAAGATTCTGAAGAAATAAGATATCAGTAATAAGAAGGCAAGTAAAAATCTATAAAATCTTATAATCTCCTATAGTCGTTGTTTAGGATTACAGTCCTAATCAGTCTATATTAGCATAGATTGCTTACTGAACAGATTGCCTTGATAGTGTGATTTAGTCACATGTTTTAGTATAATTGGATTAATAATAATAATAATACCAAAAGTCGTTTATCCAGTATAATGTACAATATCTTGACAAGTTCATCATACTATTCGTAGACGTCACAAGATATACATAATTTTATAAGGGTAGGGTGACTTATAGAGATGGTAAGATCTTAATTTTAAATCACTAACTTATTTAAGTTAAACCACCATCGATAATCAGGAAGCACTGGATGGTAATTATACTCAAGTATGGGATGTTTCAACAGTGATCACCCCCCCCCACAGGAGATCAAACTCAGGACTTCTGTTCTCTCACTAGAATGCTTAACTTCTTGATCAACGAGCTGGGATCTAACGGTGTTAACATGCGTAACTTTCACCCATTACCTGGGGTGGACAACCACCTCACGCCGAATGGTTAAACTCTAGTGGCTGCTGCCTCTTCTAAAACTTCGGGAGTTGCGTCTTAAGGCCAGTAGGTCCGATTCCCGGACGCGTGGTCGCGGATCCGCACTTCTAAGGAGTTCCATACTGGGACGAAACAATTATTCAGTGCATCTAGGTTTTCAGTGGTAGAATATATATATATATATATATATAGTATGGAACGATAGATATAACTAATTTACCAATACGTGAATTGTTTCGAAAGATTTTTTGTTCAAAATTTGCGTACCTCTTCTTCGAATGGTCTGAAATTCTCTCCGTTTCACAATGAACATTGTTGTTATCCAGTAATTCATATCTTGATCTATTCAAAATATCTCGTGCAGTACGTTGCCAAATATCTCTATGATAAATTTTCACACCTCGTCTCAATATTGTAGCTAAAATTAAACTTGCCCATCGAAATCCATTTACATCTTTAGGATGTATTGTATGAAAAAGATTTGTTGCATAATGAAATAAAGATGATCCATTTGAATCTCTTAAATGAACTGGTACTTCTTTGATTACTTCATAAGTATGTTGAAGGCTGACAAGGTTCTTAAAACTCCAAAATGCAACCGGACCAAACGGTTCTTTTTCTGAATTAAAATCAGATTGGTCAACAAATATTGTCTATAAAAAGTTTACTTTTATTTCTTGAAAAATGCGTAAAAGCGTAACGACCATTTTAACATGTGGAAAAACATTTTAATGTTTAAGCAATACAAAGACGATTATGTCTATTTTGTAATATTCTCCGAGAAAATTAATTTACTGAAATTAAAGCATAAAATGTGAACCGTTGGATTCAGACCAGGAGGTTAAAAGATACCATATTTACCGTGAATTACAAAAATCCTGTTCTCAATCTAACTATGAGTGAACACTGCTGTGGAGCTGCAAATTAAAATAAAGACAACTGTTCATTACTTTCTAATTGTTAGTCGTTCGTTTTTGGTTTGGACATTATTTCGTTGATTATACCACGTTTCAATCCCCTTTTTATGATGTCGGAATAATAGTTTAGTTTTTCGAGAAATCGATTTTCAGCAATTACGTCTCAGGTTCTCACACAACGGAGAATAAAGCACTTTAGGTTTACTATGACATACTACCATTATTTGACTATGCGACTGGTGACTGAGATTATACTACCATTAGGCAGTGATACTAATTACAATAGTATTTCCTTGATAAATGAATCTGAATAGATCTCTCTCCGAAAAACATTCCAGAAATTTTGATTTCACGACTCTTATGAATTACTATAATAAATCACTTATAAATTAAACAAATTACGACGAAACCTTTCCACCAAAGTGTAATTTTGTATCTACTGTTGACGTACTTCGAAACGAATCTTCAAGGTTCTGGTGGAAATTTGTGGCTAAAGTTAAGAATCACCACCGACCATAACAGACGGTTGTCTTATACCGTAAATTAACTGGATTTTAAACTGTAGACAATTGGACACCAATTTAATAGTATAAAAGTTGATAACTCATAGTGAGACCTATAGGCTTTTGATCCACTCCTTAGAGAGATCAACAAAGCGCACCGTTGGATATTTGGTTTTAAGGGAAGGAACATATACAGTGTTTGGTAACCAGAATGTTTTGAATTCATGACAAAAACCGTCCACACAATATTGTTGCAACAAATCAGGTTTAATGAAATGTGATGGATACAGACGAATGAAGCTGTTGATCGTAACTGTAGTCAAAAGACAATTTTTCTTTAGGGAAACATTTTATTATTAGACTATCTATTTCACCTTGAACAAAGAACAGTCTTCATAATCAGTTTGTGAAATTTCAGCATCAACACAATTAATTTTCGTCGTGTTGTCAATCCACTTACGCCTTATTCCAATTCATACTGAATAAAATCTTATAGAAACAAATATTTAGAATTTTTAGATTGAATATTATTAACCTAACTTACAATTATATGGACATAATGACTAACGTTGGGCAACTTTACCTATAGTCAAAACGGAGTTGATAATTACCAAACTAATTTATAATCTGATTTTGTTTGGCTGAATGGTTCAGTTTGAAAACAGTACTCATCATGAACTGACATCTTTGAGACAACCAATGAAAACCAGGAAGCACTGAACGACTACTTCTGATTACTAATGATCAACTTCAAATTTCACTCCCATGCGTACAGTAAGAAGTCATAAGTGATGTAATTCAATTATACTGATATTATGACAGTTATCACATGTAGCGTTATTAGATGACTTTTTACCCTAAACTTGGAATTACGAACAATTTAAGTTTGACTCAATGGCATTAACGATTTTCTTCCTTACCCCTTGATTAGTACGTTAACCTCATTTTTTATTTATTGTCAAATCCATTTTTGTGATACAATCCATTCTATCCTTCTATAGACATAGATTTTCCATATAACTATATATACGAATGTACAGCTTAAGTAAATAATTTCGTCGAAAAGAAAATTTTCTTCGCTGAATTCTCTTTTCTTATTCAATGGCATCTCCCTATTGTGATAACTAACTGACTATACGATCCCCAGTTTAAAACTATATCGTGTAGAGGATTATGGACGGATCATGACTTTCAAATTAGTACGAAACTATGTACAAGCTTTTTCTATAAAATAAACTTATAAATTAATTCATAATTTATCATAAACTAACCTGAAAAGTATTCATTTAAATTTGCTCCAGAATGAATCATAAGTTGTAATACTTCTGCTGTAGAATATTCCATTACACTAACAAGTAATGGACGTGTTATAAAATTTGCTCTTCCATTATTATTAATACCAACTAGAAACTTTTGCATATGAAGTTGCGCTTTCAATTGACCTTTACCCATAGCTTTACGTCAGAAAATAAATAAGATAAAACTGAGATCAAGTCTGCAAGTATAAATTATTTTTATTTTATATATTTGCAAAATTATTTGATTTATTTCAGGTAAAATAAACAAGGTAAATCACCATACCAATAACTTATAACCGTCAATTGACAGTTATTCTGTTAGATAACTATGATTCATGGTTCGTCGAGTAATATTAGCAAATAACGAAAACTGTCCTCGAAATGAAGAAACCTCTATAAACAGTCATTCAAACATTCCTGTTGTGTTCTACAATCTGATTTAGTCACAATATACGCTTGCTTAACCAACTATGTAAACCTTGAACAAATGAACAATCCTATCACTTTCAGTAACCTCTCACATTTCACGCTTACTAAACACTCCTGAAACAGCATGTGATCTTCCCGATTTTCCTAAGGCGATCTATTAGAACTCATTCGGAATATCATATATTATCGTTTGCTAATAATTACTGTCAAGCTTTGAAATGGATTTTTCAAATTTCAAGAAAGGACTGCGTTGAAAGTCTGAAAATGAGTTATCAAAATCTCTACACAATCGATTGACAGCTTGTTCTAATAACCTGAAATTTGATTGGTTTTGGTACAAAATTGATCACTCCTTTTTCCTCTGATACTTCAAACCAATCCTATAACCAATCAAATTGCAAAACAACGGGACAAGTTGTTATTCGCTTGTGAAGGAATTCTAAGGGTACATTTCTTTTCGAAATATGTGATATTATTGTCTAGATCGGTAATGAAAGCTTTAAAGAATACAATACTTCCAAAATATATGTGTAAACCTTAAATGAATGAATATGAAATATACCTACCTAAACATTGTTTCAATTTCTGAATATCACCAGCCATAGAATAAATCACAAAATCAGTTAAACTAACATAATACTGTAATACATTTGTTAATTTTTCACGTATTCCTTCTATCCATTGATTGCATCGATCATGAGTCCATAATGAGTTAATCCATTCTATAACAGTTAGCCCTGATCGTTTAGCTTTTAACCAAATTAAATTATCTTTAATTGTATTCTCTAATTCTGTACAGAAATAGTCAATAATATCATTGGATTTATGATATTGTACACTATAGATTAATCTATCAACAATTGGCCAAATTCCCGGATGATCTATCAGTCCTTTAGAACGTTTTATACTATTTTTTAATAAACTTGATTGAATATTTCGTTTAATTGTATATGCACCTTTGGGAATATAATTTTCATTATATACAGAATAACCATTTTTACATGGAATGGAGCAATCTGAACCTGGTATAATGTTTTTTAAACAAAATTATGAAAATAAAATTACTATTATTATCATCATTATTATTACGAGGATTAAAGATTCTATAGAGATTATCCAATTCGAAGATAATTCACATAAATGAATAATTTTAAACAGAATATCTTATGAGAATCAGGGATCACCGGAAGCATCCATTTTGACCTTGTACGGGACTAATCAGGAGTAACTATCCACGACCAACCTAGGTGTGAATAGTCTCTCAAATATCCCTGATATTTAAATATGTTATATAGTGTACGAAACTAATTCCTGTAAGATAGCTTTAATATATTTTATAAATGAAAAGCAGTAAATTAAAGAGAATTACCAGAATAACATTCATGGTCTCATACCTTACTACTAAGATTTACTTATTCTTAACTAAAGGATCATAGGTACATACATGTACGTATGTTCGCAAATATATCAACTCTGTTCTTATCTACACCTTTTTAAGAATTTATCAAATAACAATTTTCAGTTTTAGGTGTTGTGGAGATTGTTAAGTTTTTGATTGAAATCATGAGTCCATTGAAGCTAGATCACCATGGAAAACCTGGAAGCACTGGATTTCAATCAAAAATTTTACAATCTCCACAACATCTAAAACTGATAATGAAATTGTGCTCACTAGTGACTAGCTTCATGAGAAAATTCTCGGAGTTCTGGTGAGAAGCCGTGACCAGCGGAGCTAATCCGTGTCGAGAAGAAACAGGTGTCTACCTCAATACAATGGAAGATGGTCGCGCAATTTTGTGGATTGGTTGAAGTTAGACATTAACACGATTGGATGCCGGCTCAGTGGTCTAGTTGGTTAAGCGCATGGCGCGAGACTGATAGGTCCTGGGTTCGAATCTCGCGGGAGGCGGGATCGGGATGCGCGCTGCTGAGGAGTCCCGTACTGGGACGAAATGTCCATCCAGTGCTCCAGATTTTCCATGGTGGTCTAGCTTCAATTGACTCATGATTTCAATCAAAAAAAATAACAATCTGTTATTTCCATCTTTCAATAGATTTGATCGTGCTAATAATTCTTGTCTTCTTCAAATATGTTATCAGTCATGCTTAACTTAATTTTTAAGTTTAACGTTAAAATATCTGAACATTTACTTATATCCAAGTATGTTTAGCTTCAAATATCATATGAGTTTATCTGTGATAATATGGATATTTACGTTTAGAAGATGCCCGATGAACTATAGGTGCAAAATTTGAAGCTACAGGAAACTATAGTGGAGGATTTTAACGGTCTTATTATGTAAATCAATCATATAACGTGAATAAATAGATGAAAACTTGGTTAAACTATCTAGTAACAGCTGGTTCACTTTTCAGCCTTCTTAAAGATAATTAGTATTAAAAAAATAATAAAAAATTTGTTCTGTAGAAATTATTGATTGATAACATTGAGATTAAAGTATTCTCAATATATACTCAAACATTCAATAAATGATAAATCTAACTTGTTTAAATGGAGTTTTGCATTGAATATTTGTCCTAGAGTGGACATTTCAATAATTAGAACTAACACTGATATGAACTAAATATTTGTTCAAGGTATCTAATGACAATGTTCATGCAGTATTACATATGTCAGTTAGCCATGTAACTGAATCGACCCAATTTAAGCACTGAAAGTATATACATCTGAACGTTAAATCTATTATATCATTTCACAGACAACTATGGCTCTTTATTGGACAAATTTCAAAATTAATGTGTTTTATATATTGAATTGGTTCTTATTTTCTTTTCAGTACTACAAACTAACATTAAACTACTGCATCCGTCTGAATCCACTCTAACTAATTGGAATTACGGTATTTTTGCTCTAACCATTATACAGTTAATCATTCATATGAATAAGAAATGCGCTAATTAAGTAATAATTTTGGTGGATATATTAGATTGCTTCAATACACTAGTTTAATGAACTCATTAATTGAACGGCGCGAAAATAATGATGATTAAACTCTTAGCCAAATGGGCTCAAAACTAGCAGAAATCTGTATACCAAACATAGAACAAACAGTTATGTGCGCGACAGTCAATCACACAACGTTGTATCCCAAGTATGTTTATGATATGTTCATTAACATCATGAGCCAATCTAAGTTAGACCACCGTTGAAAGCCTGGAAGAATTGAATAGCCATTTTGTCCTAGTATTGGAATCCTCCGGAGTTTTAATAAGAAGCAGTGACCGACAGAGCTAATCTGTGTCGGTTGCAAAGCAGTTGCCCACTGAAAACAATGATGGATAGTCTCACTGTCGTGGATTGACTGAAGTTAGACATCAACACAGTTGGATGCCGGCTCAGTGGTTTAGAGGCTAAACGTTTGCTCATGAGGCCGAATTTCGTGGGTTCGATTCCCACGTGCGGGATTTCAGATGTGCACCGCTTGGGAGTCCCATATTAGGACGAAACGGCCGTTCAGTGCTTCGAAGTTACCAATAGAGGTCCAACTAAGATCGGCTCACGATTCGAATGAAATTCAACAATCTCCACAACCCTGTACTGCAAACTATATATTCGTTGTTTATAGTGATTATAAATATCCTTCCATGTATTGAAACTCCTCGATATTCCATAACTAAATATCAGATATACAACTAAGTACAAACATGACAAAATATTCTTCTCTCTAGATCTTAGTACGTGACACAATACAATTGGAAAGATATATTTATCTAAAGGACACAGAGTGAGCCGTATGTGAATCTCAATAGCATTCATTAAACTACAAAATGTCTCTAGTTGAAAAGCTATTCAACTACTTACCACTACAACTATTGTTCTTGCTTTACTTATATTTATGAATGTGATTTGTCTGATAAGTACTTATTCTCAGTCTTTTTAAGTTCCAAAGTTCGAAAACAGCGTTTTAAGCCCTTTTTAAACATTTTTCGGAAACAATAAATTATAAATTGTAATTTTTCACAACTTGAATGGCTCATCATCCCAAAAACGTCACATTTTTTGTCTTGAAAGCAAACTGTGTAAAATCACGTATACTGAAAAGTACCCAATAAAGCATTTTCAATATTATTTAAAGAAGTACTTCTGGGAATTGAAGAAGTAAACAGATTATACCTACTTGACGCGGATAACTTTATATACATTGAGTCCATCAGTCAACAATAATTCCACAAGAGCTAGCAAACATTCGTTCTCAGGATAACTTTGATCTAGTTCATGGTACGCACTTACAGATTTTTACAATATTTAGAAACTTTCTTTTTAAACATACGTTCTGAAATAATACAATAAAATGTGACATATGAACCGGCGTTATTCATCTATTACCATGAGAACTCTTTTTTTGAATTACTCCATTATCACGTGGTTTAAACCTTTAGAACAAAATGGTTAGTCAATAATCTCTGAAATATAATTCATTTTTAATTTATTTTGTGCTATTAAGTAGTAACGTACTCTGCACTGAAATATTAATGATTCAAATAACCTATGTGAATCACTTCTTGATGTACTACAGTTATCAATAATGTTGCTTGATATGACCAACTGAATTCATTTCGTTCAATATTTTATGTCCAACATTTCAACAAAATATAAACATTTTAAACGAATAAAAATAAGACATTTTAATTTACCTAACTGAATTAAAATAGAAATCAAACGTTGATCACTAAAATCCGGTACATTCATCATACATCGATGAATTGATTCGTTTTTTACTGACATATTTGAATGATCTGAAACAGATATAGACAATGATGGCTTTTTACTTGGACTCCTTTCATTACGGTCTTCATCCATGACCAAATGTTTTACATCATCATTGATAGTTGGATTACGTAATGATTCATTTATATCGACAGTTTCAATAGTTTCCTCAACAATTTTCCCAACTGTGTCCAACACCACCCCATCTTCAACTTCATCTTCTCTTTCAGCTTCTTTGTCAATCTGATTAAGCATTGATTCGTTAGCTTTTGTTGAGTTAGTATTTCTATCTGCAAAAGTATTCGATTTTGCAGCACAAAGTAAAGCTGTATTACCAAATTTATCACGTGCTTGTAGATCGACATCAGCTATGACTAGTTTTGCCATAAGACGAATTAAACCACATTGTAAATGAGGTTGATGTTTTAAACTTTTATAACTGGAGAAAATAATTTGCAAAAATAAGACAAGATGAATAGAAATATATTAATCTAATGGGTTCGTAGAGGTTGTGTAATTTCATAGGTTACATTAGATTGACTTTAGTTAGATAATCATTGTTATTCGGGAAGTACTGGACATATATTTGATCCTAGCATGGGACAATTCATCCACAACTCGATCAGATATTGAATCTAGTACCTCCAGATTTTGCGACGTCAGCTCAACATTTAGACAAATTAGCTGGCATCTGCTAGTTTTTATTTCTAACTTCAGTCAACTCTTAATATTGTAAATTATAATCTGTTATCATTTGTGATGTTTACGTCAAGCATGATATAGTTGTAATCTACTACTTACAAACCTCAAGGATCACCTCTCGAAGTCAATTATTAATAAGAAAATGATGATAATGACTAAAGTTAGAAATGTGAACTACTGGATACTAACTCAATGGACCAAGGTTAAGTGCTCTTCCTAATACGTGAAGCTCCTGGATTCAATTCTTAGTTGGAGTCGTGGATGAATATTGTGGAAGTGCCCCATATCAGGACAAGGTAGAAGTCCAATACTTACTGGTTTTCATTGGGTGTCTGACAAAGGTCAATCCGTAATGTAAACTACGAAATATAGTTTCATTGGATTTCGAAAGGAGAGTTATAACGTTCACCAGTTAGTTGTGGATAGTTTACATTAATAAATAACTTAAGTCAAAAGAACCACTGCAAAACTAGAAATATTGAGCAATGGTTGGTTTATACTGACAGTGAAACAAGTATCACCGGTAACAAACGATGATGATCACGAATTGTTGACAGTTAATTGAAGTTAATGAATCACAACTGACTGTAATCAAAACTCTACTGAGAATATTTATACATAAACTACCTTATTATATCTGACATTTGTAGACACATAAAAATAAAAAAGAACAATCGCATAAGTAAATTATGGTTTAAGTACGCATAAAGTCAATTTTTAAGAGTTTACGAGACCTACCGTTCAACTAAGTAGTGTAAATAAGTTGCTTGATCTGTATGCCTTCTTAGATTTGACTGGAATGATGAATACTCAATTAATTTCCATGCTTTGTTTAAATCAGCAATTGTTTTCGCGGTCTTAACTTGTAAATAAAATGGCGAATTTACGAAAGCCATTTTCCTTTGTTCTACTGACTCTAATGTAAATAAAACACTTATTACACTCATTAATTTATCATTATTGATTGAACTTTTAATTAATGGAACAGTTCTCATTGCTATAGAATAGATCGAACGTGGCAAGCAAAGAAATCTAGAATGTTCTTTCAGAACATATCTGGATGTACCTTCCTTCCAGAGTTGATGTTCACTCTACCAACATCAACTCTGGGAGGCTGGTACATCCAGCTGATGAGTTTCGAATAGGGCTAAAAGCGCTTCCCTGATTCCACCGCTAGCCACATACCATGTATTCTATTTCAAGGTGTGTCATTATGGCTATATCAAAGCAATCTGCACAGGATATCCATATCCCAACCAAGAATGATCAAATTTCAGTCAAAAATATCAACAACTGAATAATTCAAATCATTTAAATTGAATCAGTTCTGATTGTTTTGTAATGAATAAAATAAAAACATTGATCAAAAAGATTGTTATATAATTCAGAAACTAGAGTGAATAAAACCAATCATTCTCCAACAGAATTACATTCTAATCCCCTAGTAAATTTCCTTTCACCAATAGCAAAGATAGAAGAAAACCGTGAAGCTTTTTCTACCTCAAACGGACAATGATAAAGTATGAAATATTTGGGTAATTATGAAAAACATTCAAGGTATTCTAGAGATTTACCCATTAAAGAAGTGAGTTTCAGGAGGAGTTCAGGTTCACATGTATGCGCAAAAATTAACACTTTCAAAATAGTGATCTAAAATTTCGTTGTTAGAAGTCCTTTCTTTCACACTGATAACATTCTCAGTTCGTAAAATCACGTTTAACTGGTAAATTTACATGACTAGGAGAATATATGCAACTTAGGGTGACCATAACTCTAATCATATGTTTTTTAGTGACTAATTTCTGGAGTTATTTCTCAAGAATCCAAACGGAAGCCTTGAATAATGGTGTTTGTCAATCCGAAGATGAAAGGAAATCAATCACTCTTCTATAACATTGTACTGAAACCGAATCCTAGGTTAGAATGATACAAATTTTCCAGTTCACTTCAGCTTTCATTTATTCCTATTTATCATGTTTCAATTCAGTCAAACTTCTGTACTATTTTATAATATTTAGTAAATCATTAGGTTCCACATTCAGACTATTTTTGATTTACATCGACATGGGTAACTTTATAGTTTCACTTAGTTGCCATACACATGAAAACCGTGTGGTCCCTAAATCCTAGTGTACAAACTTGTACCTTGTCATTGTATTTCGAAATCGACTCATAAGCTAACTTCTGCTTACCATAATAGTTTGATTCATCCACTGCCCCATATTTTTTAAGTAATTCGATTGCTTTATTTGCTTTATTCCCATAAATGATCGCCAATTCAGCAGTCAATGGACGTGGGGGGTCGAAACTTCTGTCACATTTATTGACTTGACATTTTTCCTTTTCTGAAATAAAAATATTCCATAATTCTGAAACTCGTGGTAAATTTTAATAGTTTAAATCACGAACTAATTTAAACTAGAGCTTTATTGAAAACCTAGAAGCACGGGACAACCATTTCATCTTAGTATGAGACCATTAGACAGTGCCCATCCACAGCCCCATATCCGATTATCGAATACAAGGCCTCTAGTCTCGTTTGTGACCTCTGAACCACTGAACTGGTATTTAACTTCAATCAGTTCGCGATGTTGCCCAATCCTCGTTCATTGACTCAATAACTGTTTCAAATCTCACATGGCTTAAGTTCGTTGGTCACGTCACGGCTGCTTTAGTACTCCAGCCATCTCCGTAACGGTTTAGGATTGAGGTAGGAATTTCGTGATTTTCTCACTTTCAAACGGCTGCACTCGTGGCACCTTTATCTTGTCCCCGGGAAGCAACATCAAATGTAGAACAAGCCACAAAGCAGGAGGAATATTTACCTACAGATATTGTAGAGTATTTATGAAATATGTGCACGTAGTCTCCAGTCATCCATCTGGATCCTTTTGTGTGTTTTGCAATCCAAGTTGATTCTAGACTGTTTTCTCTAGCTTCTCTTCTGGTGCCAAAGGTATTCCGCATACATCGTGCTTTTTGACCTCCTGGAACACTTCGACTGTAGCAAATTACGTGCGACGTACCACTACGTACTACTTATAAGCAATCTTATGAGCACCATTCACAACAGAATAATAAAGGAACCCCTTATGAATTAAAACTTAAAATAACTCCAATTAAATCAATAAAAACAAAAGAAAATATCAGAAGATGGAACTTGAGATTATGCTCACAAACGTTTGTAAAATTAGTGTAAACTGACTGATTTCATTGAATGTAGTCATGGAATCATAAATGAATTTATCGAACAGATAAAATCTACAGTAACTTACCAATTTTAATTGATAAAAGATCTTCCATATAATTTAAATCTAATGCCATTGCAGCTGCAATTAATTCATTGGTATTACGTGCTTGGTCTACATGTTTAACTAATTCATAATTTCCAGTGGACATTGAACATTCGAATAAACTTTTCCCGTTTGGTTGATTTGCTATTGTTCGACACCAACATGATAAATAATAATCCATTTTAATCATATCTTCTCGTTTTACTGAATAAGAAAGAATAAATAAGTGGATACACATACGACTGCAAAATATTCAAGAAGTGTATTCCTTCCCAATTCATGAATCGTCAGCTAGATGAGGTTAAACAGCAAGGCTGGAAAGTAGAGTTATTCAGAAGATATCCATTAAACAATGTGGTGACTATCTGGATTCAGTAGCCCAGTAGATAATATGTTCAGAGCTTGAAGTACAAGACACTGGGTTTGATTCTCAGTGTAAACATCATCACTTAAATCCAGATAGATCAGGATGTTGACTCTTGTATATAACTAAAGATGCGTCATGCATTTCATTGTTAACCGCACACCAAATATGCTAAAAGTTTTGACTTGAAGCTACATCGAGACAATCCACTTATGACATGTATTTCTGATGATAGAGACTGATCAGTTATAGCCCTGAGTATCAACAACTGAAAATTACAAACCCTTGACAATAGTTACTTGTAAACTTAAATAAATTAGTGACTAAAAAAGAAACAACTTACTTGCATTCCATATACCACAGTTAAGACCAGGTAAATTTTTTACCAACCATGCTCTTTGTTCTCCATAATGATAAAAGACATGTAGTCCAGAATTGTTTTTAATCTCTGGATCAGCACCTATACAACAAAAGGAACAAAGGTTATGGTTAATTTGCCAACAATTACTGTCACATATTGTACATACAAATTTATAATAGCTTTTGTAGATCAAAGAACTATAACAAACTGAAAAATATTACATGTGTTGTAAGGGTTCCAATTATCCTATTGTTGATATTGATGAACACGGTTGATCAGTCGCTTACTGGTAAAAGTGAATGCTCAGCTGATTGTCTCGACAAAAGTAAGATAGGAACAATTACAATTGAAACAAAATTCATTCCTCAATTGATTTATCACCACCCAGTGATCAATCAAATGTGATCACGTCTCAGTCCTACAGGAGGTCAGTCGCGGCTGGGATAGCTCAGTGGTAACGCCTCCGATCGTGAAGCTGGGTGACACGGGATCGGATCCGCCAGCGAGCACCAGTTCCCTCAAGATTACAGGCACACCTTGCTGACGAGTGCCAAGTAGCACGAAACCCGGGTCCAGGGTTTCCTGTCGACTACCTCCAACAACCACCTGATCTCAAAATTCATTACTGTTGAACAAACCAATGGCAATTTAAACACAGTAGCTCAAATATAACTACTGATAGAGTATTAAAAATAAAGATACTGGGTTCCAGTCTTAGTTTGAATTCACTGCTAAACACTATCAAATTTGGCTTTAAAACGAAAAATAAAAGTTCATATCAAACAGAATAATGACTCCACCTGTAGCTCTTCTAGAGTTACTACCGGTTCCATGACCGAGTAAAGGAGGATAGTTGGGCATGTGGTCAGTAGCTCCATCCCATATATATAATCTCGTATCAGCAGTTATTTAAATATTTCAGTAGATAATAATGATAGTATATTCTGAAAATAATAATTACAGAATTTATGCCAGTTTACAGGCATTATCAACTTGATATAGAGAATAGATATGTTATAATAGATTGTTTCAAGTTTTTTAGTTTAAAAATTGTTTTGGTCGTACATTTTTCACATGTATTACAGAATTGTTGTATCGATAATTCAAGTCTTGACTAACTCAATACCATAAACAAAGTATTAGCTGAACTACCTTCACAAGTAAGTTGTTCTTTTATTTTCGTCTTTTTTTGTATTTATGTGTATGATTTATTTTCAAATGAGAGAAGAGATTATATTTATTAGTGAGGGTCTTTATATTCAAAACTCCACTTGATCAGTCTTGATTGACATGTGAGTACCTACAGCGGAACATCACTATATAGAGTTATGTCACATCTTGTACTATATTTGTTTTACGGTTGACAGTGGAATCGATGATGCGAGTTTTATCCTATTTGTGACTCCTCAATTGGATATCTCTGGATCCTAATGCTGATATTCACAATGAAACTTGAACCTTTGGCTTCAAACACCAATGAATTACCAATTGAGTAATTGAGTTTAAGCACTTTCAAAGACGAACTGCATTTAGACATCCATTAAAAATCGATCAGCACTGAAGTCATTTTATTCCAATTAAAAGAGTCTCGGTAAACAGAAGCCAGAACACCATATGAGATTGAATCCAATACCTTAAGATTTCACCACGAATAATCTTAAAACTAGAATAAAACAAAAGATCACTACTTCCCTGATATTTAATATTTGTTCATTTTAATGACAGTTAATGATGAACATTACCTTCGAAAATTTTTCACCATATTTACTGAAAACTTAATTGAGAGAATTCAGCCAGTAGTCAGAATTATACCACATAATATTACTTAGTACTGTATAACCACTGATCAGTGTAAAGGCAATCTTCATCCCCTCTGTTTTTTTCTTTGATTGCATCCAATGAAATTAACACTTCGATTACATAAACGTTAAATGTTGACCAAAAGTAATCGAATTCGGTACGCTAACTAGAAATATCCAGAACTGTTCAATTCATACTCAAGTAGTCACGTTTGGACCAGTATTCAAAGCAGAGAAAACTCTATGCGCTCAATCGAACGTATTGTATTTGGAATTCGCATTAGGGACAGAATCATTTATAAGGGTAAAAATACATTTAACTATCAGAAGGGATTTTTGTGAATATTATGGTCATTTCAATAGTTGAGATCATGAGTCAGTCGAAGCTAGACCACAATGGGAAGCCTGGAAGCACTGGACGGCCATTTCGTCCTATTGTGGGACACCTCAGCAGTGCGCACCCACGATCCCGACTCGCGAGATTCGAACCCGGGACCTACTCACGCAAAATGTATATTTACTTCCCTCAGAAAATTAGATCAAATTTGCAACTAAAAGCGTATGCCCATTTACTTAGACATTTAGAGAGAATCTTGACAAAAATGACTGCTACGCTAGTATCTCTCACTTATCACTTAGCTTGTGGTTGATTGGCCTAACGTATCAGGTACAGCAAATTAATCTCAGGAACAGTTGTGTACCGTCATAACTTAACAATATTCTCCAGAACATGTATTCAATTTATAATTATTTAAAATGTTATGACTTATGCCCCTATCAATTATCATGTGACAAAATCGTTAATCAAAACACCGACTTATATGACCCTGCTCCTGTACTAAACCAATGACACGTTAATTAGAATTATCAGTCTTGAGTCAACTCTGAATCCCTATTGGTCCTCGATATAGTGACTTTTCGCTTAGCCTTACCCGTTGGGTCAAGAACACAATTTCAGTTTCCACTACATAAATATTAAATTTTAGACATACGTGGCTTATATAAAAGCAGAACAGACCACATCATAACACAAAATGAAGGATAATAATTGCACAATGTCAAGCCAAGAGCGTCTGTGAGTCTGGGATATGCGCGTTTTTCCTGGATTCTACAGCTAACCATTATCCATCTTTGCTTATAATTCACATAATGTTATATGCAACCACTTCATTTAATTAAAATAAAACCAATATTGCTTAAAAAGAGATTACAAATATCACTTAGTTAGAATTACACTTACCTAAACGAATTAAATGTATTGCCAAGAATTCCGTATACGGTAAAAGACATATTAAATGTAACACTGTATTTCCCATATTATTTTGTGCATTAACTGAGCAACGACCACATACAACAAGACGATATACTAATCCAACAATAGGTGAAGCCCATTCTGGATATAATTGATTTCCATTTATCATATTACAATCATAAAATTGTTTAGCAAACCTAGGTATCGATAAAATTAAATAATGTAGCAATGTATTCCCAGTTTCTTCATCTCTCATATTTCCATGCTCTGAAGTGATTAGTTCATGAGCTAACCATAATTCCTTGATAGAATTATAACTATTAAATATAGTATATAGTTGGAGCGACTTTAAATTATTCTGCATATTCTCTGTGGTAGATGGCAATTTCAATGATTTACAGGTAAGCGAACGATTCACAGTTGTTGTTAACATTTCACTAAATAAAATTCTATTGGAATCCACCGTCATTGTCAGATAATTAATTTCTCTTTACTAGTAATATATATATACGACACATTTAGTTCAGTATAAGTGCTCTAACGGTTGCCTAGTGATGAATATATGTTTACAACCAAGCACCATCAGATAACTGATCAGCTGACTTAGGACTTGGAATTATTAGGTCACTTGTTTGATAAACATAATGAACTGTTTAAATATATTAGAAAAAGTATCGAAATTCCACTATTAGGAATAAATATTTCTTATCTGTTCACTGTTGAGTGATGAATTCATGATGTTGATCTATTAAGTGAGACAAGTATATTTCACAAATCTGTTCATCTCTTTTGAGAAAGCAGTTCTATATTAACAAGGAAAGAACGAAAAATTTTGAATAGACTATTTTAACAGACTATTGTACTTCGTAGTACTCTTTTTGATATGAGTAAATTAGGAAATTACATAATGAATTATCCATCCATCTTTGTATTCAGGTGTTTATCAAAGAGATGAATGATCCTACCAGACTTATTCATATCGGATAAGATAGTACATTTCACAGCTATAAAAAGGTGATCGAATGAAGTCATTCTACCATAGGGCTAGAAAACTATGCTTGTTTAAATTTTTGAAAAGAAATCAGTAGTTTAAAATCAGTCTATAACGTTACCTTCAAAGGGTTTGGCAATTGGAATATTGAAAGATCTAATTGATGTACTACTCAACAGAATTCATGAAAATCAATCTAATTGTGATATAATATCATGGTTTTTAATTACTCATCTTATCAGCCAGTAATCAGCATGAATATATTTGATATGTGGTCGGCAGTGAGATTTAAGGCTCAGGTTTTATCCTGTTTTGAAATTATCAGCCAGATATACCTACTTACCATTATTAATATTTACATTGGAACTTCAACCTAGTCTATTTATTGTTTGAAAAGCATAATGTCTTATCCATTAAAGTACCGATGAGTCCATATATCCACTAACTTATTCAACGAATAAGAAGGTATTAATAAGGGATCGTGATTTCCTGTTGTTGATATTCAGAATTATTACTAATCCGTTTTTATAACCTATACATATACGACTTTTAAAATGTTTAATATCCTGAAACAAAGTGTGAAGCGATATTTTAATGATTTTAAGTAATCAACAGACATGTAACAACATATGAATGGATACAGTAAATTAACTGACTAAATAAATCCCATCAGATTTCAATAAAATCATTGAAAGTGCAAAATAACCATAGTGTCAAGCAAAATACACCATCTTACAATGTCAACAATAAAAGTACAACCAACTTTCATAACAAATAACAAAAACAAACAAAATATGAATATTTACTTATGAAAGAATCAGGAAAATTTAAGCATGTTGTTCATAAACAAACTTAAAATATCAATTAAGCAAAATATTGACCAGTGGAGCTAATCTGTGTCAGGTAGAGACAGATATCTACCTCAGTATAATGGAAGATGGTCACTCAATTTTGTGGATTGGTTGAAGTTAGACATTAACACCGCTTGATGCCGGCTCAGTGGTTTAGAGATTAAGCATTCGCGAGTGGGACTGAAGGCCCTGGGTTTGAATCCCGCGAGCGGGACCGTGGACGCACCCTACTGGGGAGTCCCACAATAGGACGAAACGGCTGTCCAGTGCTTCTAGGTTTTCAATGTTGGTCTAGCATCAATCGGTTCATGATCTCAATCATAAACTTTAAAATCTGATAAATGAAAAAATCTGTTAAAATATCTCTCTGTTACAAAATAATCCACTTTAAATGAAATCTAAGTTATGATGATTGATTCAATTACAAGAATTTTGAATTCATTGAATGATCTAAACAATGTTGATCTCTAGCTGAATAGATCTGAAGAATATAAAATTCTTTTTTACAAATGTTTATGTTAATGCAAATCAACTTCTTCATTGAATTTGAATTGAAACTAAACATTGATATCAAAGTATTTCTTTATGAACACTTATGAATTAAGTCTAATGACATGGAGAATTAAATAATATTATTGTTAATAGCGAAACAAGTCAAAATTGAATATTATCAAGGAATGGCAAAGTGTTCCAGTTGACTTTTCCCATAGGCTTTTCTTTTAGTTTTTTTTTTGCATAAACACTGCTTACAAAGTAACTAGATATCATTCAGTCACATACACTTTATTAATTAAACTTCAGTTAGGATTAATAGCAAGTAAAGATTTATAGGCCTTTGTTTAAATCAATACCAGTACGAACAAGATGGAGTTTTTTTGTTAGATTATTAATTGCCTGATAGAATACAACAAACTTTACATCCAAAATTTTACTACAAGTCCACATATATTATAATTAGGTACAAATAATGATTCATGTATGGATACATTCATGTTTCTAACTTTGAATAGGTAAAACATTCGTCAAAAACGAACATGAAACTAACGGTTTTAGAATAATTTAAAAGTAAATCAAACAAGTAAACACTTTCAAATGGTACACCACAATGTCGAATCACTCAACTAATTGGGAACACTGCTAACTTATTCATTAATTGTATTCCTTTAGCACTAAGAACAAGATAATATAACACTCATTCTTAACCAATAACTGACTTATACTTCCGATCATGTTCATCAAAAGTTATTGATAACTAAAGCAACCCATTAACAATATCTTCGATTTCACTGTTGAGTGACTAAACGTTTACTTACTGAGGTAGTATTAATTTGTTTTTAAAAGTGGTGTTAAAATCTAGAAATGTTAAAAAACAGATCAATAACTTGGTATCTTTCGCAAAATTATTATTCTATGATAAAGTTCATCAAAAATGACCGTGTTCTAACCGCAAAATATAAATTGGTCATTCATGTAGTTGAACTGTAGTCTTAATATATATCAAACTGTATGTATGATAAATGACTTACTGAGGACTTTTAAAGAGATTGAAGTGAATTTATCTTTTTTTAAAGTGAAATTTCGTTAATTTCAAAATCTTTATCTCTCTCTTGAAACTATTGGAAACTATGCAGAGTTTAGGAATTAGCTCATTAATCTATACCTTTTCACAACTCCTCACAGTCATATAAGGTTTACGGTTTTATTCGTTTACTCAAACGTAAGTAGCAACACTTTTTCAACAATAATCATTTCACAGAACAGTGTAGCCATCATTTATTAATGTTTACCATTTACACTGGCTACATCATGATTTACTATTACTCTTTAAACTTATTTATAGTCTTACTGATTCCAGACATATCATATGCTTGTGTTCATATGCTATTTCAAGACTAAACGATAGATGATAAATGGCAAATAAAGCACATTGTTAAATGAAGTCAATTAAGGTCTTTACTTAAAAATCAAAAATGTCTATATTTCATAAATTTTGTACACTATTTGGTTTACTAATTATTGGCCTCCTAGTTATTCACAGTCCTTTTATTTACATATCAGGTTAGGCAAGTATTTAAGGAGCAGATATACTTGTATCTATATCAGACAACCATTAAATAACACTTTCATTCGTTAGAAGAAAATTCTCATTTCAACTGATTAAAATAGAAAACTTTAAAGTAATATAGTGAATTTATTTTTATTCTAGAAAATCTATAAAATATAAAGAGACAATGAATAAACATGACACCATCATTCTAACTATTAACATAACATCAGTGACAGAAAATGTATTTCAAAAAAAAAAGGTAAACAACTCAATCAATTAAAATCATTTTTAAATACAAATAAGCAAAAAATAATCACAGATATTACTCGTAATGAATTCAAATAGTAGTTCTGTAATGAATGAGAACACAAATGAGGATAATCAAATACATTTTGTACACAATATTACAGTCAGTCAGCTACAACCTAGGACCAGGCACATATATGCATCGGTCCAAGTTGCAATACCTCATTAACACAATAAGATAAACACTGGTTTCATAAAAGTAGTTAATTCAGTTGTGGTAATATATAGAAGAAAGATTGCAATAAGGATATAGTACAAGAAGAAAGAATTAGTTCGTAGAAAGAAAGATATTAAAATCTGTGAACCATACAATAAATACTTCATTTGTAAAATATCAATCAATTGTCTCAAAATTGACTATTCGTTTCGTTTTAGACTTTATTTTTGTTCCGACATTTTCATATCAATTACTTTTTGTTTTCATTCTTTCTCTTCTCAATCTTCTTGATCTTTTATTGTCAGATATTCTATTCCTGACTAGTGTTACATACTACTTATGTCAATATAAGTAGTGCACAATACAATTTAAGACATTTCATTTTATAATAATAATGAATTGATTAATGATAATAATAATAAGAAAATACATCCTATTGTCATTGTTATACTCATTAATTTTAATTCATTTAATATAGGCTTTATATTTAACATTGATAATTGTTGATTATCATTGTTATTAGTTAATGGACAAATAGAACTAATTCCATTTATATATATTTCATATAAACCATTAAATGGTATCATATCATCTAATAAATGATTTATAAATGGTATTATATATTGAATAAGATTCAATTTTAATTCATACCAACTAATTGAAAATAATCGATCGATTAAATATTCAATATCTAAATTCGATAAACTTTGAATTTGTTCTAATAAATTTAAACTAATATTGACAAGTTTATCAAATGGTTTTAAAATTATTTTATTTTGTTCAATAATATTTAATTGATTTTCAATAAATAAATAATTACTATGATATTCTTTATATAATCGATTTAATTTTTGATAAAATTTTATTAAATTTTTATGCTCATCATTTGAAATCTTTTTTAAATTACGTAAAATAATTAGAAAATAATTAAAACCAGGATGAATTAAATAATCATTGACATGACCAACAAATAAATGATCAAATAAATTAGTTAAATTGAATGTTAATTTAGTTTGTTCATATAACGCGCGATAATTGATTGGCGGGATTTTTGATTTTAAGTCATAATATTTTGTTTTATTTGTAATTTCTTTATACCAAATATTATATAATAATGAATAAACATAATTAGAATTTAATATATTTGTAAAATTCAATGGACGATTTATATGTAAACTTTTTAATAATGGTAAATGATCTGGTGTATATTTTGAATTGATTGTTTTTAAAATATTTTGCGGTATTTGTAAATTTAAATTTGGAATTGATAAAAATTCGATTGTTTCATTTAAATTATCAATAAAAACTTTTAAATATTTTGTAATTAATTCATCCGCTTTTATTTGAGCTAAATGATTCGATTGTAGATATATACAACCTTCATTTATACCAATTAATGAGATGTATACACTTGTCAAACTAACTATGATCAACAAGAAACATATCATAGAAATTGTACATAAAGTAAAACGTAGACAAACAGATCGATGTATGTATACTTTGAATTGACCTTTATTATTGATCCAAGTTTTGTATTGATGATTTTGACCTTTGATGAATTGATAACTTAAAATGAATATGTATATGTAAATGATGATAAGTGTTATACTCAATGCAATAAATAGTATATGGTAGGATAATAGTGTAATATTGAAGTAGTTTATAATTTGCTTCAACTGTTCAGTAAGTTTGGCAGAAGGAAATTGTTTAGTATAAATAGAAACTTCATGTTTAGTTTTATTAATCTCTGGCTTTAAATATGTTTCAAATAAGAAGTTTATACAATTATTTGAAAGATTATCAATAATCGGTAACCATTGATGTATCAAATTTTCAATATTCAATGCTTGTGGAATTAGATCATACATTAAAACTGATGTTAAACTTCTCATTTGTAAAGTTAATGGAAGATGAGTAGAATATTGTATAAGATTTGATAAAAACTCATCTATTTGGTTACATGAAGTAAAATCTATAAGTTTAGAATGTTTCAAACTATCACAAAGAATATATTTTGTCTGTTGTATAATAGGTGATGTATACCACCAAAAAATGATATCGATGTTATATTCTCTTTCATTAAATATTCATTCAGATAAGTTAAAGATGATAAACTTTGTCGATATGTATACCATGAATGTTCAATTTTTCTAATTACTTCAGAATTCAATAATCTAGCAACATTATTTAAATTTATATAACGATGTAAACTAAATCAAAATTATTCAATATCATATTTGATTCTTTATTAATCTTTTCTAATTGTATGAATGATAGATTATTTTGGTTTAATTCAAATGTTGTCAATGAATACATGTTCAATGAAGAATTATTTCTTGTATAGCATAAATTAGTAGTAGCTAAACAAGTAATAATTTTGGCAATAAATTGTTTTATACATTGAATAAATTGATTTAATAAACTATTAGTTGATGAACTTTGTAATAGATCATTATGAATATGAATTGTAGTTAAATTATAAGTTATATCTATAGTATAATGACTGAATTGTTCTATTTCTAATAAGATTAATTTCAATTTTGATGGTAAATTATTCATTTGTTGCATTAAATTTTGTTTATGTTGAAAAGATATAATAAAACTATATAGACAAATTAGAAAACAGATGATAACAATTATTGAGTATATGAATAAACGGTATAATAAGTTTCTATGAAATTTAAATAAATCTACTATATACCATTCATAATTTTGATTATTTTCCAAATGATCATTATTACATTGAATATGATCAATGAATTGAACTGGTTGGATATTATATTTGTTTAAATGTTTGATCTTTAATGATTCTGTAATTGGTAAAACTTTACTCACTTTTAATTTGTCATGTTGTATTTTAATATATTGTTGATTGTTGTCTCGTTTCATGAATTGATCATTGAAGACTGATGTATTATCAAGATGTGAACTGTTAAAACACATATATGTTTTATGGTATGAAGATGAAGTTAGCTTCAATGCATTACAATATTTGTTATCTACTGACTTTTTATAAGTAACATTGTTATTATCATCATGTATAAATATTATTTTTATATTGTAATTAAACATAGTAAACAGCTTATTATGCATACACTGATAATTAATTGAGTTTCTTTCTTTTCAACACTTTGTTTTAATAATTCAATTATCCAAGTATTATTATCAAATGGAATAAACTTGAATAAACCACCATCGTAATATACAGGATCAATCATGTTCCTATTGTTCCTTCCTGACAAAACTGGTACCTATTTGTCAAAGTAAATAAGAAAATTGAAAATCATTTGCACAGATCAAGTCTAGTTATTGGTATTGACAGATATTAAAATTATGATGTAAGCTACTAGTTGGAGGTAGTCATTAAAAAAATGTGGACCTAAGTTTTGTTCTGGATGTCACTTATCGATGGGGTTTATTTACAGTCTCTAGAGGAGGGGACCAATACTGTTTGAAAAATTCATACCCATATTACTGACTATTACAGAAGTGTTACAACTGAATTATTCGAGTTACCAATGAAATTCTGTAAATTGATTGATCACCTTTATAACTGAACAAATCGCTAGCAACTGTATAATACAACTTGAATCAAGATGATAAAAAAAACACTGACAGAAGATGGAAATTTGTTAGACACTGAAAATAGATTATAGCTATCTTCAAAAATAGTGATTTTTATAGGTTATATTTACATTGATTACTAGTTACATTTAAGAAAACTAAACTGAGTAGCACTTATCACCGACCAATTGATACTTTACTGTATAAACATAATTTACAATTTTAGAAAATTAAAATTCTACAACGGAAATATAAGATTGACTGAGTTATGTTTGCTCTATCATAACAACCACTAACTTATAGTCCTTTGATTATTGCCTAGCCCTTATTGATAATAGAAATTAGTTGATCGAGTTACTGATAATCTTTACTCTCGAGCCTAAACTAACATGAAACCTAAGTTTAAAGCATTTTGCCAATTACTTCCAGCAACCAACTTACATCAAAAAGTTGGACATTATGTTGAGTTAATTAGATTAGTAGCTACACTGAAATTTTACTAGTACAAGTCGATTATCAGTAAGGACTAAATATTTACTTTGATTAATTAACTTGATTATGAGTAGAATTGCTCACTACGATGTCCAAAAGTTTTTGTTGTCCCTGTTGCCTGACTCCAGTGAGTTCGAACAATGATTATCCGAATGAAATAAATACCCTACTTGATTTTGTATACATCCTGATAAGATGTATTATATTGTATTGTATTTTATTTAGGATACTAATATTTCAGACATGTTAATGTTGAAGAGCAAACAAGCAAATAAAAGATGCACCCACTGTTTTGAGCTTTGGAGTTCAGTAATCGACTTAAACAATAGTAGTGTGACTATACTAATCGCTACAAATGTTTAAGCTCACTGTTTGGAGAATTTGTAAGCAAACTTTTGAATAATCTAATATTAGGACAAAGCAGCTTACGTTTCCCCATAGTTTTCGATGTCTGTCCAGACATGATGTAAATAACGGCTTGAAAGATTTTTTGTCATTAAGTTGTAATTTTAAAACGAAAGTGTTTCAAGTCATCTTATTGAAGTTATAGATAACTAGTTTCAGTATAAGTTTGTATATGGTTAGCAGGGAATTCTAGAAAGAACTTTTATAAGTCTCCGACAATACCATGTTATCTGTTTAGAATGTACATATGTCAACAGAGACCAATGAAAATCCAGTTCTGATTATCAGCAACAAGAAAATCAAGACCCTTGCAAACAATAAACGTAGATTATTACTTTTCGGACCTTAATATAGTACATTAATTAACTTTATTCAATCTATTTGAAACCTGCTATTAAGTCAGTCTTTTGTTGAATAAATTTTCAATTTAAAAGGCAATGCATGGATTTGTTTTTATGATCCATTCTTACAGTTTCTGTTCAGATTTCAACATTTTAACATTCAACCGGTGAAAATTTTAATTGAACAATGAAACACAAATAAGTCAATATATACTTACAGTCTCCACCTGTCAGTTTCTTCAATTAACCTTTCACACTCCTGTTGCTCAAATTATAATACAGAATACCGAAGAGTTCATGTCGTGTCATGGTTTTTATATAATGATTGTCACCGATTAGTATTTTAGAATGTATTACGTAACAACGTCCGTGTTATTAGTATAGCATAACAATTATGTCATCAGTAATGAAATGAATATGCGATTTAAGTAACTAATTGATAAATTAGCAGAAAAGAATCCAAGAATTGAATCATATCTGTCTTGAAGACATGTTACTACATTCAATATTCAATTGATAAGTATGATCTGGTGTAAATTGAACAAGCTGTCAAATAATGTCACATGTTTTATTAAGGTCAGTGAATAGATATTATAAATGTATTGACAAAAACGATTGTGTGGTATATCTGCTTCTGTCTGTAATTGTGAGTGTGTGTGTACGCGCAAAAATACACATTCACTCGATGATTTGTAAAAAGCATGCACAGTATCAATTTGAAACAAAGAGTTTTCTGATTAATAAGAAGACAAAATTAAATGAAACGTTTCAAACAATTACATTCATTAACTAGAAAACAGATAAACATGACTTACAAGTTAGTATGAGTCATTAAAAATAATTGTAACATACCAAAACGTTCCAGATCACCTAATGATTTTGGGTAGACAACTAGTCACAGCTAAGACGTTTTGGACGGGTGCTTCGTCTTAATATAGAACTCTTAAACCGTACGTATTCACTACCCAATCGAGAAACCAAACCTAAAGCTTACAGGCTTCGTGGAGATATCACTGAATCCAACTTCAGTCAATGCACGATAATGTATGGTCCTCATCTATTTTCAGTGTCAATTTTTTCTTACTCGGGACATCGCTGAACTCCACTGGTCACAGTTTCCTATTTAAACCTCGAAAATTCCCTATCAAAACTGGTCATTATTAATCATCTGACGATCGTTATAAAAGAATGTTATTGGGATCGTTAAATCACGACGTGATCTTAAGTCAACAACTACTGGAAACTAGGACATCTGTTTCATCCTGCTATGGGACACTTCACCAGTATTTATCCATAACTTTATTGGGTTCGAACATTAAACCTAAAAGTAACTATTCGAGTTTCTTCTGAAAACTTATTATTACCATGAAAAACTGACCTCATCCAAAATTATCTAACTGATTTATTGTTGTGTTGTAACGTCTACCACAATCCACCATTGCATATGTGAAATGCTCTTCAATAGAAACTAACAGTAAATTATCACTTTCCTGACCAACGAATAAAGATTGCCATACCGATTTGAAAATCACGAACTGAAAACAGTGTAAAAATCTCAACTATAAACCGTATCATGAATAATTTCAATATAAACACTGTAATTAAGTAATTACCGGAGAGAGAATTAATCAGAGAAACAATATGATACAAGTGTGTTCAAGAAATGACTTTCAAATAGGGTGAAGAAACCCGGGATTAAATCGTGTTTTGATAGAATCTGTTTTAAAGCAATTAGTCCCTTTTGTAAATTTCTAAAGAATCTATTCTAACAAAAATTATTAATTAAACGAGATTGCTTTTATCCGCCTTTTCCAAGGTGAATCTAAGACAAACATTAATAATATAAATACACTGAACCATATTTATACGTATGCCTAATGCAAAAGTATTGACTGAGGTAGCCGACTTAGCTCTCCGATAAAATGGTTTCAGTATTACGGATATATATTAACACAAAGATTATGTTCCGTCTATCATAAAGGTGTGTGTACAATATGAAAGCTATGTGTGATTAATCGGGTAAAAATTTATCCAACCCTTTATTAAAGCTCATAGATGACAATAGTTCACAGTTATATAAATGTGTTCTTCAATCAAATATATTGCGATTTCGTATTAGACGAGTGGACTACGAACCTTATTAATTTTATTGTTTATATCAAGAGTTTAAATGCTTCCTACGCTTCTTGGTTTTGGTTATAAACCCTTCATTAATATCACTTATTTTGTGATTGGTTAAAGACAGCTTTACTTTACATTAACAGTCAATCAGTCATCACTTTAATAAGGAAATCAATCCATCTTACTGAAAATAGAGCGAAAATTGATAAAAGAGATTTGAATTTTGTACTTTACATCATGTACTTGCTCTAATTAAACAACCATGGGGAACCAGCAGACATTAGACATCTGCTTTGTCATAATTCCTGCATCTTTTTTTCATCAATGCATATCTACGGCTTTCAGATTGTGCAGAGTGTGTTTAACTCTTTGTCCACTGAATTGGTATTCATTAATTCAAATGTTCAACTCTAATTAGTTCACGCTATTGTGTAACTACTTTCTAATGCCTGTAAGTGAGTAAGTGCCTCTCATTTGACATGGTTGAACTCAAATGGTCACGGTTTCTCACTAAAGTTAAAAGTCACTGTACACATGTGTATCTGTTTTGAGGTTGCTTAACTCATTTTCGATTGTTTATTTCTATTACATTTGATACTTATGTTCGTTTACATTTCTTTTCTTGAAATGAAATATAATGCTTAGATAATAAAAAAATTCCAAATCTAATCGTCTCTGAATAATATGCATGTTTTTTGAGCAAAAATTGAAGTCTCGTGAAATCGTTTCTTGTTTAACATCAAAACAATTTAATGCTTTTAAAAATGTTACGGATGGTCAAATCTCTTAAAAATCATTTGTATAACACTGTACTATACCATTCGTTTTACAAAGTATTTCACTCAGTATACATTCCATTTAACTCCCGTTACTGGAAAAACCATCAAACTTATCCGCTAATGGGCTAGTTAGTTTTTAAAGTGTTAATCCTATGCTCTACCTTTGAATTGTATTCATGTCCAATAGCTTTTAGATTAATTTTAAGTGTTTGTATTTCTTGAATGTTGTTACTTAGTACTACTATAACTGATTAATCTCTTTTGGTATGTGTACATTTTGAGCATATTTAATCTCAAGTTTCCGTTAAGTTGCATATGGCTTCCAATGGGAACAAGGACTAGTGTTTTGTCCTTTAAGGAGCTTTCCAGATGAGTGTGATACATATCCCAGTATTTGGAAACTATTGAAAATGAGTGTGTTTGTCATTGGTTCTTGTTAGGTTATTTAACTTTACTTGTTTTTGTACCGAATTCAAAATCTATTACACTTACGTATCATATTGTTCTAGTAATTTTTGTTTTCTCATTTTGTTATACAGTATATAGTTATTTATTGTTTGCTCATCTGAAGTCATTCTTATCATTTATTCTAAACCGTAGTTATTCCATTCCCAATTTCCAGTATTTAATGAATTTCAACTCAAGTTTGTAAATTATGTTAAAGTTTATTGAAAATAATTATCGTAGGCTTACACTACTGAAGAGTTACATGCTAGGACAAAACGGCTATCCAGCGCTGCCCGGTCCCCATTGTTTCTTTTTTAACCCAAATCAGTCTGTGATGTAGACCATTTAACAGTCAGCACATTTGCATCCATCAACAGTAACTACAATATATGTAATTATTACAGTATTAAATAAAAATAAAGAATATTGATAAATATCAAGATGCTTTTTCAATAATTACCCATTTGTCACAACTTTCAAGTATGCACAGACTATAATGATAATTATTACCACCATTACTATTATTATTATTATTATTATTATACATATTACACATATTTGCTGATTTTCACTCGCTGTTTACAGTTACATGTTTAAACGTGTTCAAAATTAAATAACGACGTGTGCTTCATGCCGACTGCTGAATTTCTTTCCAAATATAACATATTGAAAACGAAATCGGATTTCATTATTCAATCGTATCCTACAAAAACTCATATAATAACAGTTGGTTACTTGAATGTAGTCAATATTCTGACTAAAATATGTTATCAGAAGAGATTTTGTAGAGATTTTAGTAATTTCAATAGTTGAAATCATGAGTCAATTGAAGCCAGACCACCATGGAAAACCTGGAAGCACTGGAAGGCCTTTTCGTCCTAGTATGGGACTCCTCAGCAGTGTGCATCCACGACCCTGCCCCCCTCGAGATTCGAACCTAGGACCTACCACTCCTACGCGCGAGCGCCTAACCATTAAACCACTGACCCGGCATCCAACGGTGTTAATATCTAACTGCAACCAATCCACGAAATTGCGCCACCGTCCACCTTTGTCTTCATCGAGCTGATATCTCACAACAGACCTGGTTAAATTCCAGGTTTCCCATGATGGTCTAGCTTCGATTGACTCATGATTTCAACTATTAAAATCTATTAGTCAATTCCAGCAGTTTAACCACTAAACTCAATTAACCAATAGTTTGACATGGCTAGTTTAGTTTGACCCTTTGAGCTTAAATGTCGATATTGAGTAGTAAAATTTTATTTACAGAACTGAGCGTTAAGTGAGATTATTCGATTAGAACCGACATCAGTCATATGTCCTGGGGTCACTGTCATTTCATGTCAATGCTTAAATTGTCTGATTATTAATAAGTAAACAAAGTGATGCTTATGCGGTCATTTTGCATTTTTCCAATTAAATTGAAATGTGACCACTAGTCTGTCATGTTTTTATGACGTTAGGTGATTGCAGATAGTCAGTATAAAACTTTTGGAACTAGGTTTCACGTTAGTTAGCACTTTTCACCAAGATGCATCTGAACTTTTGAGGGGACTGATGATCTAGTTGAGTTACGAACCCGTGTTACTTACCATCACATTCTGAACGGATACCATCGTGTCATTCGGGCTTCAATCGACCTGCTGTAGGAATGAGTTATTTACAATTAATTGATCATTTACTAGTAATCAATGTCACTTATTAGTCTAAAAGCTATACTCATATATGCAGCTCTTTACAAATATCCATTAACAATCCTATACAGGATCTTAGTTTAATCCACGTTCACTCAAACCACTGGAGTATAAGCCATGGTTCAAAATTCAGTCAGTTTGCAATATAGCACAATGGCCGGGTAGTTTCATTAGTGTTAATCACTTCACCCCTAACACAAATGAATTCCATCAATCACGACTTCTCATAACTACTCCAGAAATACATCTTGGATCCACTCACTAGTAAGCACACATAAGCTTAAATCAACTCCTAAAAATATTTATTTTTATGTGAAATATATTCAGTCATAAGCTCGTTTGCAATTTGTTGGAGCAAATATATCTTACTCATTAATTAGTAATTTAAATATGACGTAATAACCTGATATCAACTGACCTGTGTATCCCAAAAAATCAAATTATTGAGCAGTATTCGT